TGAAGAACAATTATTTATTTACAAACTTTTATAACAGAAACAAAGAAAAACGTGTTTTTTTCAAAATTTTCTGTCTTTTTTTGTTAATTTAGCAAAAAATAAAAACCCCAGCGGTGATTAATTACCACCAAAAGAAAGCTCTAGTTGTGTGAAGAAAATGATAAAATTTTAGTTTTAGTTTGGGCGGTTTGGGACCGCGCAATTGTCATTCAAAGTGTAAGAGCGCTGAAACGTGAAAAATGGCCTGGGCAGGAAGGTGTAAAATTGCCCGGTATTGAAATGGTTAAAGGTGAATTTCCGGTATGGAAATTTTTGCATACTTACAGTACATTGGTCCAGCTTGGACCAATGTAACTATGGATATACTATACTTGGCCAATCTCTCTGGAAGCTGGAAATCACTGTAGAAGACACACTACTATAGAAATCTTCACTAGCTTCCAGGTTCCATGCCAAGGTGTCCTGCTGCTTAGTGAACACAGGAGTTCATTTGCTCATCATAGGTGCCATTCTGAGAATGCTTTTCATTTTCCCAATGACATTGAAAGTATTCTCTGATTGAACTAAGTAAATGGGGGTGGCACGGTAACGTCATGATCTCCACCTTACATTTTACATTCAATGAGGAAATGCGAAGGGGACAATAACTAAAACTGGAGCTCTCAGAATGTAATGCAGCTGTGCATTGTAACTAATCAACTTTTAGATTCAGCTTGTTCAATTAAGCTTTGGCAATAAAACTTGGTAGCTGCTTGGTTTATATGCAGAGCTGCACCATAAAAAAAACTTGTGTATATATGAATAATTGAACTATTAGAATTAAATTTAATTTTTCTCCCCCACACTTGCGTAAAGTGGTTGTAAACTTCAGACATGAAATATGAACAAAGCATATTCCTTTATGGTTTTTGCTTGTCTCTATCCAGAGCACTAACTGTCATTTCTGTCTGCTACCTTATTCCTCTACTATCAACTAGTCACTTGTGACAAGTTTCCCTAACAAGAAAAGAAAAGGTGATGGGAGAGAGCTCCAGTACACAGCCCATGATTGACAGCCTCAGCTCCTTTCCTGTGTGCTGTGTGGAGGGGGTGTGTCCCTTCCCTCCATTCAGCTCTCAACTCTCCTCACTGGTAACCTCAGCATCACGTCTCATGCTTTGTGAAAACTCAGATAAGCTGTATACATTTTAGATTTTATACAGCTGTAGAGAGGAGAATACTGCATATAAACAGGTACAACTTATATAGGAAAATTTGTTCCATCTATGTGTATTATTTGAGGCCTGTCACTTTATTGGGTATGTGTAACAATTTACAACCACTTTTACCAACCACCTGTCAGGCATTTTCTTTCCATACTAATGTGAATTGGTGGATCTTTTTTGCAAGATCTTCTATGCACTTGAGATGGAGCTGATATCACACTCTCTGCTTAGCTGGCTTTTTCCCACATTGTCTGACCCATAACTGAATTCCCAGCACAAAGAATTAATAAAGGGGGTTGATTAAAGTAACAACCATTGGCTTTATCATATAGGTGATTTTTATAAAGCATATGTATGTGCAGTTTTTCTGCTGAACTTGCATATGCTATTTATTTCATACATTATAATATTCCACTTAAATTAGAGAGGGCTATTTTGCATATGTTGTGCCAATAGTTATCTCACATCAGCGTAATGCTTTCATACACCTACACATCCAGGACTGAATATCAAAGTGGAATAATTTTGTCTGTGTAAGTATTTTTTTTTGGTAGTATTACTCATGCAGCTGCTAAGCTATTAATAACTAGTTTTGCCTATTTGTAAATGCATAGATACTTAACTGTGTGACTTCTGAACTATCATGTTTCTCCTTTTTAGATATTAAACCTGAAAAACCTCTTAATTAGCTACAATGATGTCTTAAAGCTCTGTGATTTTGGTAAGTCAAAAAAATGAAATTTTTCTTATTTTGCTGCATACAAAAAACACTTCAATGCTTGCAATAAATAATTAGCCAATTATGTTTTATCTCAGACTAGATTGTAAGTCAGAAGTCAACACATCCAAAGGAACACTGAAAGATATGGCTGTTTTTTAAAGGAAGAACACAATACAATATATAAATAGAGATTCACCATTTTATGCTTGTACTGTAACCTACTGTACCATTAGGCACTTGTCAGCTATTGCCTAGGGCAGCACAGTAAGGGTACCCCTAGAGTTGTAAAAATTGCATGCTTAATTCAACCATCCTCAAACACCAGTGGGTCTGTAAACAAGTTTGTCTTAGCTGAATATTTGCACTCAGGTGAAAGTAGAAAGAAGGATACAGAGACGAGCAGTGGTAGCAAACATTGCAAGCACCCAATTTAAGGGATAAAATAGTGACTCTTTCAGTTGTTCCCCAAACAGCAGCTGGAAGGTTCCACTCCTGCACATATTACCCACCGCCGTACAATCCACACTATACATTCCTTATTTAACATTACCACATTCTGCACTATGTAAGTCTTCTCAGACTCTATTTAACCACACCCCATTTAAGCCACACCCAACATTCAGTGCACTTTAAAACCACGCCCACTTTCTGTCATGGCACGCTTATTGCGCCGCATTTTTATTTTCCTCAATGCCTAGGGTCCACTTTTGATCTTGCACACAGGCTCACTGAAGTCATGCAAAGAAACAGCAAGCGCTCAGTGATCCAATTAAATCAGCCACAATTGCACTAAAAAGGAACCCTAGACCTTACATATAATACAAACAGAAACCAGTGCAGCGCTAAACAATGACAGTGTAAGACTGAAAAAATAATAAATAAGAATTATTGGTGATGATAATAAATCAATAATTAATATTAGTGATAGCAAATATAAGTGGATGAAGCGGTATGATTGGCGCAATAAAATAAGTGCAACTGTGAAAGTCTTAAAGCAAAGAGTGTTCATAAGGTAGTGAAGGCATGACACAATTGGGTCAGCATACAGTGTTGCAAACGGGTCCTATTGCACAGGTGGTGTCAAATTATTCCATGTGGCTTTATCCATGTGGGAGATTGATAAAAATGCACACTCACCAGATGCGCCTAATTAAAGCACAATATGTTGAACAAGAATCTGCAGGAAGCCCCCTTCAAATGGACCAGACAGACAGTGTGGGAAAAGGATCCTTCCTCTGGATAGGAGACTCCTCTTCAACTGCAATTCCACTGGGGTCCTGGGAATCATTAGCTCAAAAAAGAGCCAAAAAAGAAGGTGCTCGTAGTGTAGTAATATTTCTGATTTATTAGGTAAAAAGTGTTAGATAAATCTTCCATGTGGAATACAGCAAAAAATCACAACATAAAATCATCTCACTAAGATGGCTGCCGGACCTTCGTGAGGCTCCTGCGGCGTGACGTCACGGCATACGGCTCCTCCTTGACGCGTTTCGTGCACATGCACGTTATCAAAAGGGGTGTGCCTTTTGTACAGACACACACTCACCGGCCTATTTATTAGGTACACCTTGCTAGTATCAGGTTGGAGCCCCTTTTGCCTTCAGAACTGCCTTAATTCTTCGTGGCATAGTTTCAACAAGGTGTTGGAAACATTCCCCAGAGATTTTGGTTCATATTGACATGAGTTACTGTTTCCTTTCTATCATCTTGAACCAGTCTGCCCATTCTTCTTTGACATCAACCAGGCATTTTCGTCCACACAACTGCCACTCACTGGATATTTTCTCTTTTTCAGACCATTCTCTGTAAACCCTTGAGATGGTTGTGTGTGAAAATCCCAGTAGATCAGCAGTTTTTAAAATACTCAGACCAGCCTGTCTGGCACCAACAACCATGCCACATTCACAATCACTTAAATCCCCTTTCTTACCCTTTCTGATGTTTGGTTTGAACTTCAGCAAGTTGTCTTCAACACGGCTAGATACCTAAGTGCATTGAGTTGCTGCCATGTGATTGACTGATTAGCAATTTGTGATACCAAGCAGTTGAACAGGTGTACCTAATACAGTGGCCAGTGAGTGTACATTATAGGGGCAGACACACACTCAATGTCAAGTCATCATATACACAGAGTGTAAGGGCAGGCATACACACACACACACATGCACTCGCACACTGTCAGTGCAGATACACACATGCACATTATAAGGGCAGATGCACAAGCACACATGGTGTCAGGTCTGACATACTGTATACAAAAGGGTGTCGAGGCAGACACACACAGTCAGGTCTAGGTCAGTCATACACTATACTGTCAAAAGTATTGGGACACCTGCCTTTATATGCACATGAACTTTAATGGCATCCCGGTCTTAGTCTGTAGGGTTGAATATTGAGTTTGCCCACCCTTTGAAGCTATAACAGCTTCAACTGTTTTGGGAAGGCTGTCCACAAAGTTTAGAAGTGTGTCTATGGGGATGTTTGACCATTCTTCCAAAAACGCATTTGTGAGGTCAGGCACTGATGTCGGATGAGAAGGCCTGGCTCACAGTTTCCACTTTGATTCAACCCAAAGGTGTTCTATCGGGTTGAGGTCAAACTCGCTCATCCATGTCTTTATGGACCTTGCTTTGTGCACTGGTGCACAGTCAAGTTGGAACAGGAAGGAGCCATCCCCAAACTGTTCCAACAAAGTTGGGAGCATGAAATTGTCCAACATGTCTTGGTATACTGATCCCTTAAACATTCCCTTTACTGGAACTAAGGGGCCAAGCCCAACCCCTGAAAAACAACCCCACACCATAATCCCCCCTCCAACAAACTTTACACTTGGCACAATGCAGTCAGGCAAATACTATTCTCCTGGTAACTGCCAAACTCACCCACACGTCCATCAGATTGCATGAAACATGATTTGACACTTCAAAGAACACATCTCCACTGCTCTAGAGTCCAGTGGTGGCGTGCTTTACACCACTGCATCCAACACTTTGCATTGCACTTAGTGATGTAAGACTTGGATGCAGCTGCTCAGGCATGGAAACCCATTCCATGAAGCTCTATATGCACTGTTGTTGTGCTAATCTGAAAGCCACACAAAGTTTGGAGGTCGTTAGCTGTTTAGAGAGTTGGTGACGCCTGTGCTCTGTACGCTTCAGCATGTGGTGACCAAGCTCTGTCATTTTACGTGGCCTACCACCTCGTAGCTGAGTTGCTGTTGCTCCCAGTTTCTTCCACTTTGTTATAATACCACTAACAGTTGACCGTGGAATATTTAGTAGCTAGGAAATTTCACGGATGGACTTATTGCACATGTGGCAGCCTATCACGATACCATACTTGAATTCACTGATCTCCTGAGAGCGACCCATTCTTTCCCAAATGTTTGTAGAAGCAGTCTGCATGCCTAGGTGCTTGATTTTTACACATGTGGCCATGGAGGTGATTGGAACACCTGAATCACATGATTTGTAGGAGTATCCCAATACGTTTGGCAATATAGTGTTCATCCATGCAGGGCAGACACACATACACAATACCAGGCAGATGCACACAGTCAGGGCACATGGTTATATAACACAGAATACACACACAGCTCAGCACATATTCAGAAAACAGACATACATCATGGTCAGAGCACACACATCACAAAGGGCATGTACATTCAGACACATAAATACTTTGTAATGCACTAAAGGTTAGTTCACCTTTACAAAAAAACTGTCCTTGCAGATAAAGGACATCTATAGATAAAAACAAACTGGGCAGTTTTGACTAAAATCGAATGCCCTTACTATAGGTGTAGGCCATTCATGTACCTCATATGAAGCCTGACTGGAAAACTCCCAGGACGTTGCTAAGAGAGGCCCAGCTGTTACTGCTGACCTTCAGCTTTTACACGCTGAGCTCAGAGCTACTGCATCAGGGGAGAGAAAAAGAGTGTGAGGGGGTTTGAGTCAGAGAAAGGGTTTGCTCCTGTGATGGTGGAGGTGAGCAGTAATAGCTGAAAGCCACACAAAGTTTGGAGGTCGTTAGCTGTTTAGAGAGTTGGTGACGCCTGTGCACTGCTGTACGCTTCAGCATGTGCTGACCAAGCTCTTTCATTTTACGTGGCCCACCACTTCGTAGCTGAGTTGCTGTTGCTCCCAGTTGCTTCCACTTTGAGCTAGGATCTTCTTAGCAATGTCCTAGGAGTTTTCCAGTCAGTTTTCATGATGTGTAAATGGCCTACAGTACATCTATAGCAAAGGCATTATTCAGTTTTGGTCAAACCTACGCAGTTTGTTTTTATCTACAGATAAAACAGATCTTTTCGCCATAAGCAATTTGTTGGTAAAGGTGAATTATGCCATTAAGCCTCACAGGAGAATGCTTAGTTGTTTGGAGCACTGTAAGTAAAATTGTAAGAAAAAAAGTACATTTAGGCCTCATTCACACAGCTGCTAATTTTAATTTGACAGTCGTGCATGTGTGTGCCCTTGAATGCACACTGTCTGTGTTTGAGGACACACACCCACGCATTGAACTGAACTGTAGATACAGTATTTATTACCAGGGGTGCTCTGGGAATGCAAAGCATGCATTTCCTCCATGTTAAAAAGGTTAAGGCTGCACAAAAGTATTATAAAACACTATCGGGGTTGGAAAGCATTTGTGCCACCTTTTTAAAAGATCTTGCACCAGATTCAAAATGCCCTGCCACCAATTTTGGTAGCTCTAGGACTGTGTGGCAAATTTAGGATAGTTCCTAATAGTGCCGTTTTTACAGTTATATTAGAAAGGCAGTATTACTGCATCAAAATCAAATATAATTACCTCCAGTTTGTGAGGTGGGAAGTATTTAACCTCCCTGGCGGTATTCCCGAGTGTAGCTTGGGGTAAAGTTTCAGCACCACAAGCGGTAACCCCGAGCTACACTAGGGAATACCTTGCAGCGTTGCTTCAGGATTTCTTCTTCACTTACCTTGTCCTGCGCTCCCGTGATGTCCCCCCTGCAGCATCCCCGGCAATGTCCTCCGGCCGATGCCGGCATCTGTCTTCTGGGTTCCTCTCCCTGCGATGTCAGGACGTACGAGGACGGAACTGGTGGGAAATTCAAAAATGTCAAAAAGTGACATTCACTAAATACACTAAAATCACATAGTAAAACATTACTGTATCAAACCATTTCACATACATTTTGTCCCTAGTGCTTTGTCCTGTGCCCTGCCTGCATTTTTACTGTTTTTTCTGCCTTGAAACTGAGAAATGACCAGCTGTAGGTTGGTGTACAGCGACAGGCTGAGTGGCTGTTCAATTGGACATTCTGGTCTCAGTGCACTTTCACCTGCAGCGCATGACAAAAATTCATGTACCTGTTTCAATGACGAATCTGTCGCCCGCACCAACAGTTGTTGAACAGAGACATAATGGAATCCTAAAGCTTGTCATAGACACTCTTTATGAATTCCTCTGTATGTGAGCTACATAACTAATGATACAGTTAAATAAAACACAGCATTCTGAATTAGCCGCTTTAGGAACAAGTACACTTTGTTAGTTATTGTTCATTCAATTTGACTTCTCATGTTATCTACAGCACTTTTAGTACACATTTACAAAGCTTCATAATTACCATCTTTGGTTTTAAATTTTGTACTGGCTTTCACTTTCATTTATCACTTGAAATCTTCTAATATAGCAGATCTCTTTGACAGGTGCTGTATCAATTTCTTCTTTCTTATTTGGCATGGTGATCTTGATAGTCTTTGATTTGGCATGCAGCCTAGAACAGTCTGGAAAGTCCCATTAAACTGAGATTGAATTTTTAAAGCAAATCGATTTTCTAGATATTAATGCTGAACTCAGACATATATAAAAAATACACCAATTAATCCAGTAGTGTATTCATTAAAAAAATAATTAGATATATTTTTAAATGCAGCTAGTGTAAGTATCCTAAAGAATTGTAAAAGCCAATAACATAAAAGAAATATATTGCGGCTTACCAGTGCATGGTGACTGTCACACTTTTAAATTTCACAGGGTAAACCAAGGTTGCCTTAATAGCATCATTGGCCCCTGGGCAAGGTAATATACTGGGTCACCTACCAGCCTGCCCCAATTTATGCACCTACTCTCAAGAACGAGTTAAATGTATATCTATTAGTACTTTCAATAGAAATCAATTTTAAAGAGAAAACATGCCATAAATCAATTACTAATTAACACACTCAATCACTTCTCCAACCCATGAGAAGGATTGAATGATATGGGGAAAACCCTTTGAGCAGAGAAGTTTTATTAGGAAAGGAACATATACTGTATGCAGCCTTGAGGACTTAAAAGTCTTACAATATCTCACATCAGATTAATGCCATAAAGTAGCTTAGGAGGTCTCTTAATAGACGGCATGCAATTTGAATTCATATGTAATGCAAGATTATCATGGGGTTCCTGGACAGCGTCCAGGGGTGGTCATGTGTTTAGATGGGTCTGGGCTAAACCATTCTCCAAAAATACCTGTTGATCCTGATAGAAATTCAATATCTTTGTAACATCAACATGTGCACTGAATTTAAATATCAATATTATCAGGCTTTTCAAGTCTTCTGTGCCCAACCCGTCCTCCCTGTGTAATAGAGATTAGGGAGCGGTAGGTGTTTGTAGTCAAAATCAGGAGAGCAGCCTATAGTGACAACACTGATTCTTCATTGATCATTGATACAGTGGAGTGAATGAGTGTTGCCACCGTAAGACAGGGAGTATGTTACTGGCAGGATCACCAGGTGAAAATAAAACAAAAATAGGTTTTTAAAAAGAAAACTAATGAAGCCACAACATCTTAGGACTGGTAAGTTGCAATAAACAAAACATTTAGTGTTTGGGTTTTCTAATTGGTATTTATATCAGCCGTCTCTAAGCTCCTGTACAGCAGCATCCAGACTGTTAAAAAATAAAAAAATTCCCGTTTAAAAGGAAATCTACTTTTTGTCTCATATTACTGAGAGATAATGTGGAGGGTATACCCTTAAAGTAGAACTATAGGCAAAAACTTTTTAATTTTGGATAGAGAAAGGGAGATTTCTTTTTTTTTTGCCATCTGTGTCCCATTGTAAAGTTTTCCCTTGACTTCCTGTACCATAGCCAAACTGGAAGTGAGAGGAAATCCTTGCAAATTAGGGGAATTCCTTGGGACCCCTAGGTCACCACAACTAGTGTCTCCATTGGAAGATTTCCCCTCTATTACTTTTCTGGGGATAACCCAAAATGTGGGATTTTCTTTTACTTTTACTTTCACTTTTAATGATAATGGTAAACAGGACAAACAGAGGGGGGGAATCTCCTTAACAGTGGCAGAAACTGCAATAAAACCTGACAAGCGTTTTAATCCCTCTTCACTCTTTCCTAAACTAGAAAAAAAGTTTTGCTTTTAGTTATACTTTAATATGCTTTTAAAATTTACTGAACCCAGAAAAAGAGATCTTAGATTTCAATTAGAGTGCCAACTGCTGGTTTAAATCTGGGATTGTAGCTTGACCATATTGAGAATTTTTTCCCACGTTCTGTTTGCGGTGTCCAGTTCCACCCATGCTATTGCATTTATCATGTGTACTGACAAGCTTCAGTACCGCAGTGTATTTTTCTCAGTACTGGTTGTTATTATCTTGTTAAAAAACTCATCTGAAACGAAACATATGTTCCTTGCTGCCTTAAACTAATGTTACACTTATGAACCTGTTGCAAGCCAGCATGTGCCAGTGTCAGGATTACTAGAAATGCAAGAAGACTTACCTGCTTTGTATGTGTCACTCTCCAGATTCAGCAGCTAAGCCTCCCTCCCTTGCTGCCTAAAATGCTTGAAACTGTAAATCACGGGCAAAAGAGTGATGCCTAGCTTATCCAGCCAGCAAGGGGGTGACACATGCAAGCAGGTGAGTGTTTCAACGTCTGCATGTGTCCTCCAAAGGTATCCAGCCACTGGTGAATTCTTGCTAACAACAGAATTGCTGATCTTTTGCAAGCCTGGGTTTAGCCTTAATGAAGATTCCTCATGTTGTGAGAGCTATAGCCATAGAGTTACTAGTGAACTGCAGCACTAGGGCCACCAGCTCAAATCCCAAGAAGGACACTACCAGCATGGAAATTGCATGTTCTACCTAGGCTTGTATAGGTTTCTTCCGTGTACTCAGGTTTTCCCCCAACACTCCAAAGACATGCTGAAAGTTTAATTGGCCCCTGTCTAAATTGACCTTGGCATGTATCTGTATGCATGTGAGATAGGGACCATAGATTGTAAGCTCTTTGAGAGCAGACACAAATCTGAATATACAATGTATGTAAAGTGCTGTATAAACTGTTGGTGCTATATAAATGCCTGTAATAAATATGAAAAACCATAAAATAAACAGTTTTTGCTAAGAGTGATGTTTTATATCATCAGGTTTTGCTCGGAATTTATCTGAAGGCAGCAATGCAAATTACACGGAGTATGTGGCCACACGGTGGTATCGTTCACCTGAGCTGCTTCTGGGGTGAGTACTGAAATGACTTGTATAAATATATGTTTCACACATGACAGGTGAATATCTGTGTGCACAGCTTTAAAAGATGAGTTTTGGAGAAAAAAACAAGCAATCATACTCACCTGGGTGGATGCAGCATTGGTTTGATGGTTCATCTGTTCCCTGCCGCCTTGAAGACCGAGAACTGAGTGCTCAAACACAACTGATCGCTAAGTTTTCGGCCTTCTCTGCTCTCTGCTCTGCCCCTCCAGCGCTTACTGGAGTGTCAGGCTATGGAAAGGGTGGGAGGAATCTGGGGGAATCCCGACTTTAAAGTCAGGATCTCTCCAAAGTCTGACTGGATGAGTGACGTCAGCCAACAGCAGGCTTCAGCATGCTCTTGTCTGAAAATCGGTCACAGAGTGCAGAACAATGTGCACTCTTGTGATCCATAGGTAAAGTAGGGCCAAGAGTGCTTTGGCCCTACTTCTCATTTAAATATTGTCTTACCATTCTTAGGTTTGGCCAGCAATTGAGAGGCTAGCTGTGTGCAAAGCGTGGAGCAGATCTTTTCATACAGGGTTTTCATAGTTTGGTTGGAAGATTACTGTTTGAATGATATAAAGAGAATTTCTTTCAATGGATTATATCCCAATTATAAGTGGTGGGTGATAGAATCTGTTGGAGTCTAGGGCTGCTACCTTTCTGATAATGACAATGGGGTTGTCACCACAGGGAACACTTGGGTAATTGGAGAGGAGCGCCCTGTGTCAAGAAAAATGTGTCACTTGATGATTTTGATTTGATGGTTGCTCTCAAAACTGCAGAACCACTGATTGGATATATTTAACCCACTTAGAGCTTAACCATTCTCCAAGAAATACAGCTCTGAAGAAGAGGGAGGCAATTCCCCTGAAATGCATTGGCTCCACTTGTATAATTGTATCTTTAACCACTTGCCTACCAGGCGCTTTTACCCCCTTCCTGCCCAGGCCAATTTTCAGCTTTCAGCGCTGTCGCACTTTGAATGACATTTGTGTGGTCATGCAACACTGTACCCATATGAAATTTTTTATAATTTTTTCACATATAGAGCTTTCTTTTGGTATTATTTAAGAACTACTGGGTTTTTTTATTTTTTTTGCACTATAAAAAAAGAGCAAAAAATTAAAAAATAATGTTTTTCTTTGTTTCTGTTATAAAATTTTGCAAACAGGTACATTTTCTCCTTCACTGATGTGGGTTGATGAGGCTGCACTGATAGGCAGCACTGATGGGGACTGATAGGCTGCATTGATGAGGCAGCACTGGTGGGAATTGATGAGGAAGCACTGATGATGCTGCATTGATGGGCACTGATAGGCGGCAATGATGGGTACTGGTGAGTGGCACTGATGGGCGACACTGCTGGGTGGCACTGCTGGGCACTGATGGGTGGCAGCTGATGGGCATCATTGCTGGGCACTTTTGGGGCTGCACTGATAATCAGGGCACTGGTAATCCGTGCCCTGATTATCAGTGCAGATGTCCACTGTGACTCATGCTGGTTATCAGCAGTACTTTCCCCACGCTGTGACAGTGTGAGGAAAGCGCTACTGATAACCAGCAACTGTATTTACTTTGTGATCAGCTGTGTCATTGGACACATCTGATCATGTGGTAAAAGGCTGCTGTGATTGGCCTTTTACCTTGTTATGTGATCAGCTGTGTCCGTAGGACACATCAATCACAGAGAGCGCCGGGTACGCACTTCTGGGGTCTGCGCGTTCAAGGAGAACGTCATATGAGGCTCTTACCAGAACTGGACAACCGCGCTGTAGCCGTCATTCGGCTATAGCACAGTAGTAAAGTAGTTAATAAACAACTATAAAAATCATCAAGAGACATCTTTCTGAATCATACCTGAACCGCTGAAACAAAGTCACACTGGATATGGCTTGAAATCGTGCTGCAAACCGGACTCACACAAATGTGAACCCAGACTAAGACAAACCCCAACCTCAAAAAAACCTCAATATCTCTGATATTACATTATGACACTGTCTGATCTATACAGTTCAGTACTGGTCTACACAGTAGAAATGCACTGTAAAGTGTATCTAAGGGCAACATTTAAAATCATATTTATTTCCTTATTGTATTTAAATTTAGGCCTACTTCTGTTAATCTAACAATCTTGAATTGAATTGTGGAAACTTCCTTTGTGACGCTCCCGACACATTTACTTCCCTGAATTCTGTGACACCTAATCACCATGCCCTGTAGTTAGGCACTGCTGTCTCACACAATTCACAGAGCCTGCCTTCTGAAATACAGAGATGCTGAGAGGAAGAGTTTCATAAGGCAGAGTAAGTACAGGGCGCACTGTTTGTAGGTAGCAAGGTACCATGGGATATATAGTCCTTCAAAATTGAAGGTAAATAGGACAGAAGCTGCAAAGCATGTAGAAAATCTAGGAGGTTGAGGAAAGAGATGTCCAGCAAGCAGACAGCACTCACAACATGAAAGGAGATTTTTTTTCAAGTAAGCTTATATTGGATTGTCAAAGATAACTATTGTTTGTATTGCTCTTACAATGCTGATGTTATAAAATCAAAGTGTATGCTGTGACCATAGAATTCCTTTAACTATTACTGGTTGTCCCTTGTGTCACCATTTTGTCTGTAATAGACTGCAGAAACTGACATGTATCTCCTGCTTCTTCTGCATGTGTTACTATCTATTATCCTTGGCAGCACAGATAACAAGAAATGAGCACAGTGATTGACATGTATTACTGACTGTAGTGACGTTACAAAGAAAAGCCCCTTCTTTAAATATAATATTTTTGACAGTGGTTTTATGTTTTGTTTATGCAGCACTGTTCAGGCCAGATTACATTTTGACAAGTAAGGAAGAAAGGAAATGTCTTATTCGCATCTCCTGCCATAGTAGCAATGGTGGATCGACCATGGCTCTATTGTCCGACATATACTTTCAACCATTAGAAGGAAGAAAGTTTTGGATTACTTCTTTCCAAACAGCTTAGCTGTGGGAAGTTTAGAGCCTCCACCTTTACATGTACAGCAAATCATAGGAAAGAATATTCTTCAGTAGAGTTTAGTTAAAGTTGTTGTAAAAGCTGAAGGTTTTTTACCTTCATGCATTATTAAAACCTTCAATGTGTAGCTCTCCCCTCAGCCCCCCCTAATATTTACCTGAGCTCGATCTCCATCCAACGATGCATACAAAAGCACACCCAGGTCTCTTCCTCCTTACTGGCTGAGACAGAGCAGTAGGAGCCAATGGCTCCTGCTACTATTAGTCACAGTCAATGAAGAGGGGGCAGGGCCAAGCTGTGCTCTGTGTGTCTCATGGACATGCACGAGTGCCCCCATAGCAAGCAGCTTGCTCTGGGGGCACTCAGCAGCAGGGGGGGATCCAGGAGCGCCTGCGGGCGACTTGAGAAGAGAAGGATTGGGGCTGCTCTGTGCAAAACCTATGCACAGAGCAGGTAAGTATAGCATGTTTGTTATTTAAAAAACAAAGCTGAACCTTTGTTATCACTTTCAAGTATAACCCATTGCTGTTTTGGTTATAGCAGGGAAGGGTTAGACCCACTGCAGGTCATTTTTTCTGACTTTTTTCTGCCAAGAGGGTAGGAAATGAAAGGAAAATATCCTGGTGGGGACACATCTAGTAATAAAAACCTGGCAAAGTTTAGACCTTTCCTCATCTTTTTCAAAACAAAAAATAGCAGTTATCACTGGATTTACACTTTAAGTAGTAAAAGCAGGACTTACAAATATTTTAAAATCACCTTTTCTGAGGTTCCGTTTGCTATGCGGACCCTGGAAACAGTTAATAAAATAAATAATTAAAATGCAGATAAATTAATTACCATGCCTAAAAAAGGGCATCAAATCTGCCAACTACATTTTGAAAAAATCCCCAAACTAAAATGAACAAACTATTAAAAATTTTCATTAACAGTGTATCAAACCATTTCTAGAATAATGAACTTGTTTGTTTTCAGGGAAGCAAAAAAAAAATTCAAAAGTGAAAATTAATCATACATTAAAATTGGTGTGGAGTGGACTTAAGGGGCAAACTTTTCTTGGATAGAGTGAGAAAGGGTTTAAGCTGACTTTTGTTTTATTTTCTGTTTTGTTACTATTTTTGTTTTTAATGGGGAGATATCCCATCACCCCTGAATGGTTGCTAGAGTATGAAGTGATGGCAGATCTCCCCAGCAAGGAAAAGCCAGTAATATAAACCTGCTGGAGGGCTTAACTCTCCCCCACTCTATCCAAAATTTTAAACAAAAATGTTTTGTCTAGACTCCCCCCCCCCCCCCCCCCCCTGGCTCAACACAGACATTCCCACCTCAATTAAAAATCACCATTTCATACAATGCTGACGTATATTTGCAAACATAATGCATATCAATATCACAAACCTATACCTCTGATATGGCCCCAATAATTGAGAACCCAGCATTTCAATCTGACTTACAGGACCATCATTTTAAATCTTTCCTATCTGCAAACCAATTAAGACTTTGAAAGTTCCTACTTCTAATAGTTGGAAGTAAATCTTGGGCATTGGAGCCATGGTTGATTCACCACTGCTATTACTGAAGTCTACCCATAGGTACATGTTTCATTGCAGGAGAAAGGATGAACGAAGATATGCTTGCAGACAGGTGGAGGTCAATAAGGGCAATTTTCTTTAAAGGGTACCTAAACCCAAGAACAAATTTGTAAAAGTGCAGCTTACTGGTCCTTGCATCATGTTGGTTACAGTAACATGGACATTAACATGCATTGGTGTGATGCAGTCCTTTTAGTTTTGAATGGCACTCTTGACACACCTTCTCAGTTTACGTTCATTGCAGTTGCAGTACAGTTTTTGGTATATTGTAGTGTGTTGGTGCGTTTTTAATGCTTGTGTTTTTAAGGCACTACAGCAGACAAGGCTAGTGTATATGAGCCCTTTTGAATCCCTGTCAATTTATTTTTTGCTGTCAGTGTTCTGATGGGGAGATTTGGCTGTACTTTCTGACCCAGAGGTACAACAGAAAGTGGCAGAAAATCTCTGCAAAGTGGGGGGAATAGTCCTCTTAGGAAGTTGTCTTTTGAACAGGTGTTTTCATTGGGAGCTTTACCCTAACTTGTTTTTCTGGTGACAACTATGAAATTTTGGATTTCCCTTGGCTTTCTATCTTGGTGACTGGTCACCAGGATCAATAGAGAAGGTGAATTGATGTAGCAGAGACAAGGTAAGCAGCAGTAAAGAAAAAAAAATTGCTATAAATACACTCTAGTATTCCTTTTTTTTTCTCAACTCACAAGAATACTAAAGCTGATAATGGTGTTGTATTTCTAATCTCTTAATTCGAGTAAAAAACACTCATTTTGATAAAATCAAACCACCTGCTTATTAGATGATGTAAATCTAAACTTTTAATTTGAGTAAAAAAACACTCATTTTGATAAAATCAAACCACCTGCTTATTAGATGATGTAAAAGATAGATATATATGATATAGTTACATTGGACTTATCTTTCCCACCTCCCGAGCTTAATTATTGGTCAGTGAAGCCAGCCACCACAATGAAGGACCCATAGGGAGACTTGGGAAGAGGCAGAGCGATATCAGCTTTTACAGGAAAAGCAGTAATTTATTTATAACTTTGTTATAACTGCGTCTGTGGATTGACAAATTGTTTTGCAGTAGTTTTCAATGATGGTAACCTCTGATCATCCTTTTGCTCAGTTTGATTTTCGCAGGCTTGTTACAGATTTAATTAAAAACGATCAGGATCACTTGTAAATAAAGCATAAAATGTAAAAAAGGAGCATCTTCTTACTTTTCCAGCAGTCCATGCCAACAAACTCCAAATGACTTCTAATGGTCCGATGGATAGAGCAGTTGTGCAGGGCTAAAATTGTGGTAATTGCAGTCAGAAAATGTCAAGACTGACTGCATCTGATCTGAACAAGCTCTTGGATAATACAGTACATCACTTTTGGAAGACTGGATAATGTAATAATGGCCCTTAGGCTTACAAACTTTTTGAAAATGGATGATAATGTGCTAGGCTTTTTATGTAGCAAATAGGTGATCTCTTCTTTCCAGACTGCCTCACTATCTGTATTAACGCCATGTAATAGCAACGGAAGGTGTGCACAGTGAGCATTCACCTGTGTACTTTGTCTATTGAGGTAAATCAAGGTTTCCTCAGTTCTCAAAAAACTAGAACAAGCAGTTGCTTCAAGCTGGAATAGCTTGACTTAATTAACCCAGTTTTGCTGCAAAGCTTGTTATGTGCAGTTTAATTGCACCTTTTTAGAACCTTTGAAAGTAGGGATCTTAAAAGAAGTATTTTCACGCCTCTTGTTTACACTTGTGAAGCTCTGCAATGTAACTAATAACAGTTGCAGCGCCTGACTATTCTGCATCTGGTTTTCACTTTTTCTATGATATGATAACACTCACCTCTTATACAAGAAAATGGAACAAGCCTGAGGGCAACAAACTTTCAAAAGCGTCTTTCTTCACCTCTTTGTACTCTATCTCAAGACAGGACTTGATAACACCTTGAAGCAATTTAAAACAATAGGAGCCAAGTAAACATGACTTGATTTCACATTTGTGCTGTCTTGGGCCATTTTTATTATGTTTTTTCTTCATGACCACAGATCTTTGTGGTCTCAGAGTTGTTTGCATTTTCCCCAAGAAAACTGGCAATTGTAAACCAGGTACCCTGTTAGGTACTTTACGCCTCAAGATTCTGCATTATTTTAAAGTATTCAAAGCGAGTTGATATACAGTAAAATTTTATACAAAAAATTAACAATGGAATTTGACAGAGCAAATGAAGGGTACACTAGAGTTTTTTTGGTGTTGCTCTCAGTTGCACTTGAGTTCATCAAATTGTCTTATTTAGAGATGTTCCACACTGTGGCTGCTGTCAAAGTACAGTGCATTTGGATTCTTAGTTTCCAAGTCTGTCTGTTACAGTAAGGACCACTTGTAAAGCAGTAATTGGTTGACCAGCCATTGATCCACCTCCTCTAAGTCATTAATTGCATATCAGAGCACCCCTGGATTCACTTTAGTAGATTTTTGTAGGGAGCCACTGATTTTGAAGGGCTGCCGCAGCCTAGTAAGGTGTTCTACAAATTATGAAATACTATTGCTTCCGCATACGCAATGCCTTTCTCTGGCAAACTGTGTTTGGACAATTGCAGCTTTGTATTTGTAGTGAGTACTATGGCATTTAATCTACTGCATATGTGAGTGATGTAAGTGAAACTTACAAGTGTTTTAGGTATATCAGCCAGGTGTACTCTTTGATCATTGGATTTAAAGGAGGCCTCCAAATAACTCAGTTACCCTGCTGTAAGTAAATTGACTATATGCTCAATTGACAACGCTTTAGCAGTTGGAAAATAATCTTTTTTTGGAGCTATATGACTCATTTTCAATCACATTGGAATCAACTGAAAATGACACACTCTTGAAATTAAGACCATTAGCCTGATTTATTAGTTTTGTGAATTGAATCCATTGTAACATTTGTTTGAGAATAGAACTATTATTTGAATCGACAACTGTGTTTCTATTGTGAACAATTTCATAGCACAAATATGATTGTAGCTCAGTAGCACAGTGTTTCTCAAGCTCTTTTTAATCCTGCACCCTGCACTGTGAGCTGTCATTGTTTTGGGGTCCAGGGCTGTCAGCGGTATGGCACTGTCCTATCTGCCCCATGTGGAATAGTTATCCATCAGGGTGACCTGGCTTTCGGGGTGTAACCCAGGCCTGAGGATACTGCAGGACAAGAACACCTACCTGGTTGGCATGGGTGGAGGTAAACGGAGATCTGTGGTGAAGAGTGCTCCTCTAGTGGATACAATGTGTAATACGTACACCTAAAATATAGGAAACGTTATTGGCAGCCCTGATTGCCCCCGCCTTTCTGATCACCCCCTCCTACTGAACAGCTGCCCGGGCCCCCCTGTTGAACTGATGGGGCATGGGCCCTCTACAGGAGGCCGATCATTATTAGCAACCCTGGTCTCGGGGGCCACATGAAGGGAATGGAAATTTTAGTTTCAAATGGGTAGCTGGAGATATTCTTTAAGTGAGATAGGTCTGAGTTTGTAACGCACCATTAATGAGAACATCAGTGACATATTAACAGCTCTTGATTTGTTTTTCTTTTCCTTTTTTTAGAGCCCCATATGGAAAGGCTGTTGACATGTGGTCGGTGGGTTGTATCCTTGGAGAGCTGAGTGATGGCCAGCCTCTCTTTCCTGGAGAAAGTGAAATTGATCAGCTTTTTACAATTCAGAAAGTATTAGGGCCTCTACCACCAGAGCAGATGAAGCTGTTTTACAGCAACCCTCGGTTTCATGGGATGCGGGTGAGTGCAGTAAACAATATGCTCAGATGTCCTAGAATGAAAAATATGCGCATGATCTGTAATATTTTTTTATGTGGCACTTACAGAAAGCTTTCCCAACCAGTCAATTATTTTATTACGTTAAGAACTACTTAAATGCTCTTTGTTCCAGAAATAATTATTTTTTACATGTACTTCTCTGAGCCTCTATCACAGATAAAGTTATATAACACAAACTGTCATCAAAATTTTTATGTAGTGGGAGGGAATAAATCCAACCAGCATTCATTCTTTTATTAGAAATAGAGAAAGTGATTCAAAACTCAAGGTGTACACAGAATACTTTCAGACAAAAGGGATATAAAAGAAATACATCACAGTTATAATTATTGCAAGTTAATATTAAATCATGTCCTATTTTTATCAAATTGCATACCTAAATCCATAAGGTTTTTATACCCACCTACTGTTTTCAGTCTGGATTGTGGAAATTGTAGGCAAGGCAATTATATATATATATATATATACTATCCTTTGGAAAATCTAAATACCAAATTTATGCCTTTAAAATAGCAGTTAAAAGGGTCATTGCTGTCATGCTTCAAGATGGGTCCTTTGTTTGATTTTGCATCCTCTAGAGGTACGATGACATTTTTTGTTTCTGGTTTCAAGTTATCTCCTGCTAATATAGACCATGGGAAAACAACAAAATATACATCATGATACTATTTCTCCATTGTTAGTACACTTGTGGGGCTAAATGCAGTGGCAGGGCTTATTGGTGGGGGAGTGGTATTTAACACTGTAAACAATTTGGTCAGGTAAGCCAGGAATGCAATGCACAAGCTTTCATTGCTAATAACATTTACTGTGGAGCTCCTGACACGTGAAGAGATGTCCTATTCTAAGTCCCCCTTACACTAACAACCCTAACGCTATAATGGACCACAACGCTAACCCTCCCTAATATAAAAGTAACCCCCTCTTTGCATACTCACCTCTTTAATTGGAATAGTTTGTACCGAGGAACAACCCCTCCTATACAGTGAAATATCTCCGCACCAAAATCTACTGTTTTGACCAAGAAGGTATTATGAAGTTTATCTAAGATGTTTCATCTACGGTGTGAATTTCTGTCTTCACGTGCCAGTGATCTTAGATTTTACATACACACGTTTTTCCTTATGCTAACCACAAGGATAATAAGACCTTCCTACCACATCCTGTTTTGTTTCCAAGTTAAATGTATGTATTGCTGTATTTTCCAAACCTGCCCTTGTTTTTTTTGTTGGGGGGGGTGGGGGGGGTTGGATGATCTGTATATTTTTCCACCTTTTGCTTGTGCACCTCGGCAGAACACAGTTTTCCTATTCCCTTGCCTTCACGATCTATTATTTTAGGATGAGCCATAAATTACATGTAATGACGCACTTCTGTGGAAAAATGTTACCAGTCCCTCTGATTTGTTGTACAATGGGACTACATCAAGACACTTTTAATTTGGGTACACAATGATACATTTGGTTCATAGTAACAAGGTTAGGTCCCTTACATTACAGTTTGGAAATACAAATGTATAGGTGCAATTACTTTTGTTTCTGTAGATGCATTATAAATGTAGCAGTCAAGTCAATAACTTTTTATGGTAAGCCTAAAATGACAGAAATGAATGAACACTTGAGTGGTAAAGTGTTGGTCTGATATGGGCTGACTACCTTACCCAGCCTAACCTGATGGTATAAGAAGGGAAAGAAAAAGGTAGGCTTTGTGCTCTAGTGACTTTGCTAGTGCCACATGCAGTTTTAAGAGTAAAACATTGTTCTCCACAATCCCATTCACTGTGGATGATTGGGTGAACTATGTTAATTAGAACTTAAGCATAGAATTTCCATTCTACTTTTACAAATATTACAAATTGTAAAAAATTTGGTTAAAATGGCTAAATACACCTGGTTTGGTTCCCATGCATTTCCTCTCTTACTCTCCTGTGTAACTCTCATACCCAGTAGATTAGATATCAGAAGGGCAACTCAATCCCTTTAGTCCCCGTGGGAAACTGTTCAACAACTCTCTCTTATGACTAAAGCTGTCTTATAAATTTTTTGAGTGTACACTCTACAGACTCTCTTTACATGATGTTACCTTTCTCTTACTAATGTTTACAATAAAAATGTTCTTTTAGATGAAAGCAATGGATCTATTGAGGAATTCAGTTAAAAGTAATAAACAACAGTTCTTGGCAGTATGGCCCCTTTGAAATCGCTTGCGCCTAATTCAGGAAACCCTTGCAACAGTTTCATAAATCTTTCTGACATATGTGCCAGATTCAGTTACTTCTTATTACTGCCACATTTAGAATCTGTCACCGTGACTGCAACAGATTCAAAAGAATTACCGCAAGCATTCATCCCTGACCTAAAGCTGGCCATAGATGGATCGAAATTTGGTTCAGCAAGGATCATCTGAATTTTCATCCATCTATGGCTGTTCCCATTAGAGAGAAGTCAATCTAACAATCGGCTTCTTTCGATAGGGAATGTTGGAAATGTTTCAAGAGGAGTCCTGCTGTCAGAACACAATAACTAGTAGAGAGGATCCTTCTTCATCTACCTTGAATGTGTGGATGGGGTTGCGCGTTTTTTTTTTGATCAGCTGGCTGGTTGATCATAAAGAAAAATCCCTCTATGGCCAGTTTAAGGCAGCTGCTGGTTGGGACATTCCCCAGCTGACAGTTAAATGTAAAAAAAGGAATACTGTGCAGCCAAATCAATACATTAAAAAGTGTGACACACAAAAGGGACCTTCAGTATCGCAGGATCATACAGCTTTACCTCCAGTAATATAGTTTATCTTATCCTTTGTAAAAAATGTAGCCAAGGATCCTCCGTTGGTGAAAAAGGACAGAAATTACAAGCACAAAGGAATTTGCACAGACACACTATTAGCCCTTTCACTGCCAGGTCCGTATGGCATACGCACCTACAGCACCCCTTCCAGCTAGCCAGGGACTTATAGCAGAACTGTTCAGCAGAATCTGCTGAACAAAAACAATATCTCTAGGGTTAACTTAGCATGTAACATACTGCTGTTCCGAGCTATTCACCTAAAATATGACAGCCCCTGCCACCGCTGCTTCTCTGCCTCTCACCCTCTGCTTCATGCCCCTCCAAATCCCCTGCTACACTGGATGCTAAATGTCTGCCCCCCCCTTACTTTCCCCTTTCTCAGCCACAGATCTCTCCTATCAATTCTCACCCTAGCACCAGCCCCCGCAGGCATGGATTCCCTATGGGTCTGTAGCAATCGCTACCCCCACTGCCTCTCCTGCCAGCAATTGCAGTGTAAGAATGCTTGTAGTGTAAAAATGCTCAGATAATTCCCCCTGCTGATATCCTTCATCTCCCCACTTCATTGTTCCCCCTATCACTGATCCCCCTCCTATGTAGCTAAGCTGGCCGGATTTCCTCCACCACCCAGCTGCTGCCTGGGAGATTAGTGTAATTTGTTTACTATGCTTCAGTTTGTGAATGAAGCATAGTAAACTGTGTTTACTATGCTTTAGTTTGTGAATCAATAGGAGTCTCTATACAAACTCCTATTCATTTTTCTACAGTGCAGATGAAGTGGCAGGGCAAGGGACATCATTCTTCAGTCCCCTTCTCTGTCTAAAAAAGAGACATTAGGGATTTGTTAGGGAACATTAGGGGTTTTGTTTTGTTTAGATCCCTGATGTCTCTCCAAGTCCCCCAGTCAAAAAAAAAATGTAAAAAGTATTGAAAAATAAAATTTCACCTGTTTAAAAAATTAATAAAATTGTAAAATAATAAAAAAAAAAATTGTATGGGTAGATTTAGACATGCATCTAAATCTCCCTTGCCTCTGACGCCTGATCCACATTCAGATCGCACTCCACAAGCTACTGACTGTTTTAACCCATGTTTGCCAACAAATGCACCACAACCACGTGCATTGCATAGAGTTGCAGGTCATTTGCGGCGATTCCCCGTTGACTTGAATCAGTAGTGTTCGGTGGGCGACATCACTACAAGCCAAGTCAGCTTTGCTGTGGGCGTAAAGCAAAGACTTGCAGCCATAGCATCTAAACAGCCCCACCCGCTACCTATTGCACATTAAGGGGGCACAGTTGGTGGGTGGCAGAAACACAGCTCAACCGCACATTTTTGGCGCCCCCAAACCGCAAGTCCAAGTCTAAACAAGGCTCTGACAGGCTGAACAAAAACTATACAGAATTTCATAGGAAGGCTTCATTCAGATGTTTAGTTGGGGGGAGGAGTAGCAAAAATGTGCGATTGAGTTGCGTTTTTGCTGCCTGCCAACCACCCCCCCAACAAGCTGCAATAGGCAATTGCATTGTCTCCTGCATGTGATGAACATCCTTTGATTTAGACCACATGTGTGTATTGCATGTATATTATCAGATAAAGGAGCAATATTAATTTGCAGAGTAAAGTGTGGCATAGACGGATTGAAATTTGGCCAGTTCAGTAGGGACCAGCCAAATTTCAATCAGTGTGTGGTTGTCCCTGTTTGAAAGAAGTTGATAAGACGATGCTGGACATGCTGGAAAATGTTTTCAAGTGGCAAGCCCCACTGTCAGAGTACAATGTGCCCACAAGGGGGATTCCTTTATTCACTTTGTTTATGCAGATGGAGTAATCTGTTAGTCTTTTTTTGTGCATCCCATAGGCTGAAGGAAAAAAACTACTTGTCTATTGTCAGCTTAATGAGCTCAGGGTCAAGACATTGTTAGGCCTAGGACGTGCATCTTTCCTCTGAAGCCTGATCCGCATTCAGATTGCGCTTTAAAGGCTACTGACAGATGTCAAAGAAGCAATGTAATGCCTCCTCACCGCCTGTTTTAAACCCATTTTTGCCAACAAATGCACTGTGTCTGTTGCAGGGCGTTTGCAGCGCTTCCCCATTTGCTTGCCTACCCTTTGATAAGTACATGTTGGGTAAACATTGCCACAGGTGCGAAACAAAGCATTGTAACCAAGGAACCTCCTTCCGCTGCCTATTGTAGCTTAAAGGGGGATGCCTGGCAAAAATGCAGCTCAACAATGCTTCCCCACCGCACGTCTGAATGAACCTTCCTGTGAAATGATGTATTTTTGTTTAGCCTGCTATATTATATAGCCAGAAAATAACATCAATTTTCTGAGACTATTGCTTTTTGTATCATTGTACTATAATCAGATCAAATCAGATTCGTGTAAGATATTTTCTAAAAGCATTTGTGGATTTGCAGTTTGTTATTTGCCTAATTAAATAAACTGTTCTATAGAAAGCATAACTCTTGCCTGGTGCAACTAGGCACCAATCAAAATATATTTAACTAGGTTAAAAATAGTAATGTATGTTGATGCTTCAGGAACATACGCTGGCTTTTACACAACATAATAATCTTGACTATCAGCTACAGTATAAATTACTGTTTAATTTGCTTTCATGCCTTCCGGTATTCCCACACATAGAGCTGTAGGGCTAACGTGTTGCTAACAGCTATTTTCAAACATGTTTTGGTTCTTGATGACCTCTGCAAGTACCTTCAAGACAGATTAAGGAAGAATTTGTAATCCTTTGAATTGAGCCCAAAAATCTAATGATCAAAGAATATTAACTCACAGAGCATTATACATTATCCAGCCTTGATCTGTAAAAAAATGTCTTGTATTTTTCAGAATAATGATCAATATGGATTTCTTAAACCTTTTGGGTTTTTGTATTTCAGGGCACTGTTTTTATTGCTTTGTTTTATTGTTTCGAGGACATACAATGCATTCATAAAGTATTCAGGCCCCTTTGACTTTTTTCAGTTTTGTTATGTTGCTGCCTGATACTGCAGTTGTTTAAATTCATTTTTTTCTCAATAATCTACACTCAGTACCCCATAATGATAAAGTGAAAAGTTTTAGAAATGTCTGTGGATTTATTAAAAAGAAACTGAAATATCACATGTATTTAAGTATTCAGACCCTCTACTTCGTTGAAGCATCTTTGGCAGCTATTACAGCCTTGAGTCTTTTTGGGTATGACACAACAAGCTTTGCACACCTGGATTGAGGGATTTTCTGCCATTTTTCTTTGCAAATCCTCTCAAGTTCAGTCAGGTTGGATGGGGATCGTCAGTGGGCAGCCATTTTCAGGTCTCTCCAAATATGTTCAATAGGGTTCAATTCATGGCTCTGGCTGGGTTACGCTAAGACATTCACAGAGTCGTCCCTAAGTCACTATTGTGTTGTCTTGGCTGTGTGCTTAGGATCATTGTCATGTTAGAAGGGGATACTTCAGCCCAGTCTGAGGTCCTGAGCGCTGTGGAACAGGTTTGTATTGAGGGTATCTCTGTACTTTGCTCCTTTCAGCTTTCCCTCAACCCTGACCAGTCTCCCAGTCCCTGCTGCTGAAAAACATCCCCACAGCATGATGCTTCCGCCACCATGCTTCACTGTTGGTCAGGTGATGTGCAGTGTCTGGTTTTCTCCAGACATAACATTTAGAATTGAGGCCAAAATATTGTTTCATCAGACCAGAGAATCTTGTTTCTCACAGTCCTTCAGGTGCTTTTACGCAAACTCCAAGCTTTCATGTGTTTTGCACTGAAGAGAGGCTTCCATCCAGCCACTCTGCCATAAAGCCCAGATTGGTGGAGGGTTGCAGTGATGGTTGACCTTCTGGAACCTTGTCCCATCTCCACACAGGATCTCTAGAGCTCGGTCAGAGTGACCATCAAGTTCTTGGTCACCTCTCTTACTATGGCCCCTCTCCCCGATTGCTCAGTTTGGCTGAGCAACCAGCTCTTGAAAGAATCCTGGTTGTGCCAAACTTCTTCCATTAGAGAATTTTAGAGGCCACTGTGCTCTTGAGAGCTTTCAGTGCAGCAGAATTTTTTTGTAGCTTTCCCTAGATCCGTGCCTTGCAATAATCCTGTCTGTGAGCACTGCAGACAGTTCCATTGACCTCATGGCTTTTGCTCTGATACAGTATGCATTCTCAGCTGTATGGCCTTTTATAGAGCAGAGTATGCCTTTCCAAATCATGTCCAATCAGTTTAATGTACCACAGGTGGACTCCAATCAAGGTGTAGAAAAACATCTCAGCAAAGATCAAGGGAAATGGGAGGCACCTTAACTAAATTTCAAGTGTTGTTCAAAAGGGTCTGAATACTTGTGCCAGTGTGATATTTCAGTTTTTCCTTATTCATACATTTGCAAACATTTTTAAATTTTCTAAAATTCTATTTTCAGTTTATCGTTATGGGGTACTGAGTGTAGAATAATTTTAAAAAAAATGAATGTAAACAACTGTAGTATCAGGCTGCAACATAAAAAAATTTAAAAAGTGAAGGGGGTCTTAATACTTTATGAGGACTATGTAGCTGATCGCATATGCTGTCAGCACATATCGCTTAGCAAACCATTTGCTCCTCCAGTGCTTTGTAGACCCATCTATAATGACTATGCCATTTTTTTAGCTGCAATATGTACACCTATTTGCATGCCACATACCACTGGCTGAATGAAAAATGGCCAGGTTAACATGTTTCCTCTCATTATGGGGATTGGAGGAATTAGTTGTTTACAAAGGGCAGCCTGCAAGGATATATCAGATAATGCAGGGATATATCAGTCCAATTCACAAGACAATACAAAAACACTTAATTTCCATTGATCAACTTTCCTGTACTTGCAGAAAATGTTCTTTTCCTGAAAAAATAAAAACAAATGCAGATACTAAGGCAGCCTTTCTCAACTTTTTCAACACAGGAACTCTTGAATCACCTTTCCAGTCTCAGGGAACCACTGATGAAAATTACTATATCTACAACTCATGATACATTATTGTGATAGTCAGTGCTCCCTACACTAGTGGTCATTGTAAAGAATTACCCCCTTACAGACAGTGTTAGTGGGAACTTAGGAAGGAACCCCTAGCAACCTCTGGAGGAACGCTAGGCTTCCATGCAACCCTGGATGAGAAACCCTGTACTAGGGACTGGTGAGTTGCAGTATAATTACACCAAAGGATCCAAATCTCTGTATGTGTGTGTATATGTATATGTGTGTGTATATATATATATATATATTATATATATATATATATATATATATATATATATATAATCATCTGCTTTTATTAGCATATCTCTGATTCTGATATATTATTTAAGATATACAAAGTAATGAACTGTTGTGAACATTTTGCCATGTATGACAAATACACTTCTAAGTTTTCAGTTAGCGCTATTGCTTTTTGCTTTATACAGATATGATCTCCCTGAAGCCAGTAAGAAATCAAACAGTGAAATGGCATATGCATAAGTAAAAACTGCAAAGCATTTGTATCATATAGTTTCCTTGAAGGATCACTGCTAGTAACCAATTTTTTCTATATACCATATGGTGTCATGTTAGCAGGAATCGCTAAGATGGCCAAATGGAGAGTTTCATTGTACTATTACATATTTTACTTGTGGATAGTACGTTTGCTATATGTATTTGAAGAAAAAACAGATTCTAAATATATTTGTGGTGCAAAAAGCGTCTATTTTGTTTCTGTTTTTGTAAAGATTTCTTCCCTTTCTTGTATTTCAGTTTCCTGCTGTAAATCACCCTCAGTCCTTGGAAAGACGATATTTAGGCATCATTAGCGGCGTATTACTTGACCTCATGAAGGTATGGAACATTTTCTACGAGTGCTATTTGCCATTTACATGTTCCTGTTAAGAAATTGTGCAGTGGTTTATTTAGCTGAAATGAGGAGTGGAGATGCTGTTCTCTGCTTCTCTTCACAGCACAATGCAAATTGGCCAGTGAGAGCAATACAAATGACCAGCTTAATAAGGTGCAATGAATACAAATGTAAATAATCTACCCTTCTACTTCTCTACCTCAGAGGTGGCGATAGCAGAGAGAGAAGAGAGAATAAGCCAGGATGTGATGAGGAAGTAGAAGAATGTATGTTTGTGTGTGTGTGTATATATATATATATATATATATATATATATATATATACTCTATTGCCAGAAGTATTGTGACGCCTGCCTTTACACTCACATGAAGTTTAATGGCATCCCAGTCTTAGTCCGTAGGGTTGAATATTGAGTTGGCCCACCCTTTGCAGTGATAACAGCTTCAACTCTTCTGGGAAGGCTGTCCACAAGGTTTAGGAGTGTGTCTATGGGAAGGTTTGACCATTCTTCCAGAAACTCATTTTTGAGGTCAGGCACTGATGTCGGACCAGACGGCCTATCACGCAGTCTCCATTCTAATTCATCCCAAAGGTATTCTATCGGGTTGAGGTCAGCACTCTGTGCAGGCCAACCAAGTTCCTCCACCCTGAACTCGTTCATCCCCATCTTTATGGACCTTGCTGTGTGCACTGGTGCGCATTCATATTGGAACAGGAAGGGGCCGTTTCCAAATTTTTCCCACAAAGCTGGAAGCATGAAATTGTCCAAAATGTCTTGGTATGCTGATGCCTTGTGAGTTCCCTTTACTGTAACTAAGGGGCCAAGAACAACCCCACACCATAATCCCCCTCCACCAAACTTTACACTTGGCACAATGCAGTCAGGCAAGTACTGTTCTCCTGGCAAGTGCCAAACCCAGACACGTACATCAGATTGCCAGACAGAGAAGCTTGATTGGCAAACGCTTTGCATTGCACTTGATGATACAGTGCCTTGGAAAGTATTCATACCCCTTGAAATTTTCCACATTTTGTCATGTTATAGCCAAAAATATAAATGTATTTTATTGGGATATTATGTGATAGACCAACACAAAGTGGCACATAATTGTGAAGTGGAAGAAAAATAATAAATGGTTTTCAACATTTTTTACAAATATCTGAAAAGTGTGGAAAGCATTTGTATTCACCCCCTCTACTCTCATACCCCTAACTAAAATCTAGTGGAACCAATTGCCTTCAAGAGTCTTCTAATTAGTAAAGAGAGTCCATCTGTGTGTAATTTAATCTCAGTATTCCTTCTCCAGCTTTGTGAGCGTCAACTATTTTCAGTTTCAGTTTTCTAGACAACTGCTTAAAAGAACCCATGGTGCTGATTGTTGGGGCAAGGTCAGATGAGTCTGGGCATTTAAAACCTTTGAGATTGACATACCCTGGTCTTCCCAGATGATGATTGAGAACAATCTATGACACTGGCAGGTCTCAGCTTTGCAAAGGGGGCAGTGCATGCTATAAATTCTGCAGGGTGCCCAAACTTTTGCAGTTGCCATTTTTTTTTCTGTTATTTTGAAAGTGTAAATGATGGAAATAAAATCTAACTTTTGTTGACATATTATAAGAATGTCTAATCTGTAATCTGATGCCTTTTGGAGATTTTTTCCATCTTTCCTTGGCTTCTTTATGCACATTAATACAAATTTTTAGCTGGGGTGCCCAAACTTTCGATCCCCACTGTATTCATGTGTTAGAATGCCCCAGTCAAAGTCCAGACCTAAATCCAATTGAGAATCTGTGGCAAGACTTGAAAATTGCTGTTCACAGATACTACCCAACCAAATATGGCAGAGCTATTTTGCAAAGAAGAATGGGCAAAATTTTCACTCTCTAGATGTGCAAAGCTGGTAGAGACATACCCAAAAAGACTTGCAGCTGTAATTGCAGTGAAAGGTGCTTCTACAAAGTATTGACTCAGGGGGGCTAAATACAAATGCACATCACACTTTTCAGATACTGTATTTATTTGTAAAACATTTAGAAAACCATTTATCATTTTCCTTCCACTACACAATTATGTGCCACTTTGTGTTGGTGTATCACATAAAATCCCAATAAAACACATTTACATTTTTGGTTGTAACATGACAAAATGTGGAAAATTTCTAGGGGTATGAATACTTTTTTAAGGCACTGTATAAGATTTGGGTGCAGCTGCTCGGTCATGGAAACCCATTCTATGAAGCTCTGTACTCACTGTTCTGCTAATTTGAAGGCCACATGAAGTTTGGAGGTCTTGAGCTATTGACTCTGCAGATAATTGGCGACTTCTTCTCACTATGCGCTTCAGCATGCACTGACCCCACTCTGTCATTTTATGTGGCTTACCGCTTTGTGATCGAGTTGCTGTTGTTCCCAGTTGCTTCCACTTTGTTATAATACCACTAACAGTTGACCGTGAAATATTTAGTAGTAAGGAAATTTCATAGATGGACTCATTGCACAGGGGGCAACCTATCCCGGTACCACGCTTGATTCACTGAGCTCCTGAGAGCGACCCATTCTTTCACAAATGTTTGTAGAAGCAGTCTGCATGCCTAGGTGCTTGATTTTATACACCTGTGGACATGGAGGTGATTGGAACACCTGAATCCAATGATTTGGAGGGGTGTTTTTGGCAATATAGTGTATGTACAGTATATATAAAAACACCAGAAATTAAAGTAAATAAGACATATTTGAGAGGGATCATTCATCAATAATTGTGATCTTATTTATTTCAACACATTTCAGTGATACTTGTGCTCTAGTTTATTTATATAGCCATAGATACACTCCAGTAAAAGTGTCACAGAAATGTCTTGATATAAATAAAAACACAGTTATGAATGGTCGCTCTCACATAGGTTTTCAGTTTCGAGACATGATCATGGGCACAAATCTCACTTCCCTTCATTTCTTCTACACATCATGGCTGTTCACTGTCTATTTTGTTTACTTCTTTTCTCCATCAGAGACAAAAAGTACAAATGTTAATAAACATTCTTTTCTCTGAGAGTTTTGTACATATGAAGACCAGCAATGTGTAAAGTCAGTCTACATCACACGGGCACCTACATTTTTCCATGTATCTGAATAAAAGTGCTGTGTTTGCACGTGCGTGGGAATTTACCTGCACATCTACAGATGTGGCCAAATGCTCTGCCGAGACCCGGCTGGCGCCAGAGGTTCAAAGATGCTGGCGTCGGGGGGGGGGGAGGGGAGTGGAGGTGGAGACAAAGGTAAAAAAAGGTAAAGTTCCTCTTTAAGGAGTTTGATCCAGGGCCATCTTAAAAGCATTATGGGCCCCTGGGCAAAGTAATGCACTGGGGCCTCCACTAGCCTGCCACAATGTACGCGCCTACTCTCAAGAATGAAAGTATAAATAGTTGATAGACTGAAATATATATTTATTAGTACTTTCAATAAAATTGATTTGAAACAATTAGAAACCATGCAATAAATCAAAGACTAATCAACACAAAGGGCACAGTACCAGGGGGAGGCCGAAGGGCACAGTACAGGGGAAGTCAGGAGGGCACAATACTGAGATCAGGAGGGCACAGTAACAGGTTCTGGGACACTGGCCTTGGACAGCTTAGTGAAAAGCGTGACTGTCCCTGAAAATCCAGGACAGCTAGCAAGTATGATGTAATGCAAGATTATCATGGGGCCCCTGGGCAGTTCCCAGGGGTGCCCATGCATTAAGACATCCCTGGTTCGATCCCTTAACATATGCCATGATTTGGTAAGCAAGTCTCTGCTATATGTTGACTGTCATAGGGCCCAGTAGCTATAGAATATAGAGAACTAAAACCTTGAAGTTCACTCGTTTTCATTGTGTTTAATGAGTTTTTACAGTATAATGATTAATAACGTATAAGAAAATATAAGAAAAAAAGGAAGAGATCATAAAGAAAAGAAGGATTCACAGGAAGCTAGGGAAAATAGTAGGAATGTGGACAGTGTGGTTAGGTACCTTAAAGTGATATTAAAGTGTTACTAAACCCACAGTAAAATCAGTCTCTATATGCAGTAAAACATGCTTGTTATACTCACTGTGGAACCTAAGGGGTTAATCCTCTGTGTTGTGTAAAAAGGATGTTTGATCCTTACATCTCTGTTCTTCCCCTTTTTCAAGCGACCACTACTTATCTCCAGACTGAACCATAGGCATGCATATGCTCAGTTTGGTGTATATTGCTAGAGAGGTTTTTTTTTTGCTTGGGAGAGTGCATGTGATCAGCACAGGGCCAATCAGCACTGTCCAGACAGAGGTCAGGAGATTTCCAGGATCTAAGAGGATCTTAGAACAGAAAGAAAACGCCTCTTACAAGCTTTAGCTAGTGGTGGGCTGGACACAGATAGAAGCCACAAGACTGCTCTAACTGCTGATGAGAAAAGGTATTTATCAGTTTATATTTACTAAAATAATTGCATTTCCATGTTCTGTGTACTGTGAGAGACCAACTATAGTGGATAGAGGGTCCTGGGTTTAGTAACACTTTAAAGCCAAATTTTTTTTTTTAAATAAACATATCATGCTTACCTGCTGTGTGGAGTGGTTTTGCACATAGCAGCCCCGATCCTCCTCTTCTCAGGTTCCCCACCAGTGCAATTGGCTTCTGCTGAGTGCCCCCAGAGCAAGCGGTTTTCTATTGGGGCACCCGAGCAGTCTTGCTCCCAAGCTGCTGCTCTGTGTGTCCATCCTTACACAGAGTGCTGCCCCCTGCTCTCTTCTCATTTGCACAGTGGCTGTGTTTGACAATACGGGGAGCCAATGGCTTCTGCTGCTGTCTCAGCCAATGAGGAAGTAGAGACCCGGGAGAGCCGCTGCTCTTGTGCGCATTGCTGGATCGAGATGGAGCTCAGGTAAGTATTTGAGGTGGGGTTAGGGGTGCTGGACACAGAATGTTTTTTTTTTTACCTTCATGCATAGAATGCATGAAGGTTAAAAACCTTGAGCTTTTACAACAACTTTAATGTGTTTGTGAAACCAAAACTTGTTTTTTAGTTTTAATTAAACATTACCCCTCACTTCTTGTCCTCTCACAGTTTTACCAGACAGGAAGTATGGAAAAATCTACTGCATTGTGCAACAACACAAACAAAAATACACAAAGCAACGCATGAAAGGTCCTCTGCACTACCTACAGGTGTAATACAAGCTGCTGGCTTCACCACAACTCAAACAAGTCATTAACACATAAAGTGCAGCGCAAACCAACCACAAAATTGACATACTGCAACGCATGTAATGTGACAATGAACTCAATACAACCTCACGGTAACGGTATCTCACTGTAATTAGATCAGTATATTTATACAAACAGACACCCTTACTGAATGAATAATAAATCAAAGTGAAAAAATAGCGTGTTAAAAAAATAAAACATAAAATAAGTCCATATATAAACTCCCAGTGAACTAGGGGAAATTATGAAATATTGTACTGCATTCAGTGATTCTTTAAAGTGTCATCATAGGAGAGGGTCCCACCACCAGTCTATGCATGAAGGTAAAACATCTTCAGTGTGCAGCTCCCCTCTCAGCCCTCTCTTATACTTACCTGAGCCTGATCTAAATCCAGCAATATGTACAAGATCAGCAGCTCTCCTTGGTCTCTCCCTCCTCATTGGCTCAGACACTGCAGCGGGGGTACCATTGGCTCCCACTGCTGTCAATCACAGCCAGTGAGGAGGGAGCTGGGGGCAGGGCCAGGCCACAGAGGCGGCTCGGGAGTGAGCACAGATGAGTGCCCCCAGAGCAAGCAGCAACTGAGAAGAGTAGGATCGGGGTTTCTGTGTGCAAAGCCATTACACAGATCAGGTAAGTATGACATGTTTGTTATTATAAAAAAAAAAACCATCTGAACCTTTAGCATCACTTTAAAAAGTGACTGCAGTATTCTTAAAAGTGATTTTTATTTATTTATTTATTACTATGACCTACTTGTTCTGCAACCAACATCTGTACCAAAATATTTGCAATTTTGAGGGAACAGTTTCTTGGGAGGAAAGCCTGTATCCAGCTGTGTAAAATTATTTGTTTCCCTCCTCTAGCAGCTATGAAGTGTAAAAGTTGCAAGCATCCTGCTGTGCGTTTATTTTGTCCATGGTCTATATAACAAATAATAAATAAAGAAATAATGGATTAAAAGGAACATGATTTGTAAGGGTGGCCCTTTACAGGCAGTCCCTGGGTTACAAACATAATAGGGTCTGTAGGTTTGTTCTTAAGTTGAATTTGTATGTAATTTGGATCAGGTACGTTTTTTAGGTGTAGCTCCAGCCAAAAAAAAAAAAATATTTTTTACGGTTTTTGGATAGCATAGGGAAGGGTTAACACCCCTGTAATGTTTGTTTTGCTGTCTGTGCTCCTGTTCACAAGATTTAACCTCACTTTCTGTCCGTGTGACAATTGGATTTTGGAAATTTTGGGTTGTCGTGGAAATAAGGATTGGTGATAAACCTTCAGTGGAGTCGCCTTTTTCCCATGATAACTCCTGCAGGAGTGCATTTCCCTTCCTAGGGGTAGATCTCCTCTCACTTCTTGTTTCTCCCTCCGTTCTTAAGTAGGACTCGTTCATAACTCGAATGTTCGTAACTCAGGGACTGCCTGCATTTTAAAGTAATGTCATTTTAACCACTTGCCAACCACGCTATAGCCGAATGACGGCTACAGCACGGTTGTCCAGTTCTGAAGGGCGTGATATGACGTCTTCCCAGAACGTGCCCTCCCGCTTGCACCCAGCGCTCTGCGTGATTGCTGTGTCTTAGGCTACGTTCACACTACTGTTGTGTGCAGGCAGCAGAAAGGCGTTTGGGAAGCATTTTTACCGCTTTCCAAATGCCTCGGACAATTCTGCACATTGCAGCACATGGTGCTATTCTAACGGGAGCGTTAGCGTTGCATCGCGGCAAAATGGATGCCTCTGGTTCAGTCAGGAGGCGTTGAAGCCTCCTATTCTAGTCTATGGTGCCGCTCCGCAAACGCCCGGCCGGTGTTTGCGGTGTGGTTGTGACGCGTTTGCGGAGCGGTAACACCATTCAAACTTCATTATAGGCGTTTGTAGAGCTTTTTTTAATGCTCGGCAAACGCCTAGCAAACGCCGCTGAACCGCGCATGCGGCGTTTGCTGAGCGTTAAAAAACGCTCCGCAAACGCCAGACCAACGCTTGCCAAACGCTATAGGGGCATTTGGCAAGAGTTGGTAAAACAGTCAAGTGTGAACGAGCCCTTACAGACCCAGCTGATCGCATGATGAGGTAAAAAGCCAATCACATTGTGATCAGCAGTGTCCAATGACACAGCAGGTCACAATGTAAATACAGTTGCCAGTTATCGACAGCACTTTCCTCATGCTCTAACAGCGTACTGCCGATAACCGGCAAATGACACAGAGGACATCTGCACTGATCATTAGGGCACTGAGGATCACTGCGCAGCAGTGCCACCCACCACTGCCCAGCAGTGCTTCCCACCAGTGCCCAGCAGTGTGCCCATCAGTGCCACTCATCAGTACTGCCCAGCAGTGCCACTAGTCAGTGTTGTCAGTGCCACCAGTCAGCGCCGCTCATCAGTGTTGTCCATCAGTGCCCATTATTGCTGAATATCAGTGCAGCTTCATCAATGTCCATCAGTGCCACCTCATCAGTGCAGCCTATCAGTGCTGCCTATCTTTGCCACCTCATCAGTGCTGCCTATCTGTGCTACCTCATCAGTGCTGCCTATCAGTGCCCATCAGTGCTGCCTATCTGTGCCACCTCATCAGTGCTGCCTATCTGTGCCACCTCATCAGTGCTGCCTATCTGTGCCACCTCATCAGTGCTGCCTATCAGTGTTGCCTATCTGTGCCACCTCATCAGTACTGCCTATCAGTGCCCATCAGTGCTGCCTATCAGTGCAGCCTCATCAGCGCACATTAGTTAAGGAGAAAAATTACCTGTTTGCAAAATGTTATTATAGAAACAAAGAAAAACTTTTTTTTTCACATTTTTTGCTCTTTTTTTGTTTTTTTAGTGCAAATAATAAAACACCCAGCGGCAATTAAATATCATCAAAAGAAATCTCTATTTGTGGGAAAAAAAACTATAAAAATGTCACATGGGTACAGTGTTGCATGACCACGCAATTGTTATTCAAAGTGTGACAGTGCTGAAAGCTGAAAATTGGCCTGGGCAGGAAGGGGGTAAAAGTGCCTGATAGGCAAGTGGTTAAAGTAATGTCGCTTTTTATTCTTAGTCATGCAACATTGGTTCTTGTACTGTGTAAAGATTCTACAGTGATTTTGACAGATACTGCGTTAATGCTGAGCTTGATAGTCGATTAAACATTTACTGTTTCAGCTAACTTTCATGCCATTCATCCTCACAGTTGCTAAACTCAGTAGCTTGTTTTCAGTGACAAAATCTATTCCAACAAAATAAGTCTTCAGATTCCAGCATTGAGCTGTTTTGTATTTTTTTTTTATTACAAATTATTTTAAATACCTTTGTATTGTTGTTCCTGATTATAAACATATACTTTGTTTTACCTAGAACTTACTGAAGCTAAATCCATCTGATAGATATCTGACCGATCAGTGCTTGAACCACCCTGCTTTTCAGACTCAGAGACTCTTGGATCGGGGTGGAAGCTCACCTTCCAGATCATCCAAGAGAAAAACCCATCATTCAGAGAGCAACTCGTCAAGCAGGTCATTACTACTTTTAATAAAATGTGATGATATATGTAATTTAATAGATTATTTAAAAATTAAAATATCTACAGGGGACTAAGTAATAGTGGGGCAAATAGGTTGTTCACTTTGCAAGGGAGTTTTATCCTGAGCTTAGTAAATATGGTGAAATTTCACTTTGCAATCCAATTACTGGGAAAAAAAAACAGCATTTTAGCTTGCACATGACTGGATGATAGCAGTCAGCAGAGCATTACCTCTTTGACTAAGCTCAGGGGAAGATTCTTCTGCAAAGTGCAAATTCCCTTGCAAAATGGACAGTAGATTTGTGCTTGGTAAATCAAGTGCAGTAAATATAAGCAGTAGATTTTGATTAGAAAGAAGGTGCAACAGAAAATGACAAAACTACTGCAGCATTTCCAGTGTTGCACTTTTAGCCCTCATTTATATGACAAGGGCTATGTACACACTTATGTCTAAAGTTTGTATTGGTTGAAAGTTTCTTACACAAAATATGATGTAGAAATTGGCTTCAGTTGCTGACATGATAATTATCGGAATTTCGCAATGCATTATGCCTTTTGGATACAAAATGGTGGGCTCTTGCACATGGCCATATATTAAACATACAGTTGTACAGAGGAAAATAGACTCATGGACCACAACTGCGGTTTATTTTTTCTCATAAACATACATTTCAAAAACTTCTGTTTGTGGATATGGTTGTAAAATGCCAGCACTGTTTGCATGCATGCAGGCATATTTTCAAAATGATCACATTGTCGGCGTTTACGCTCACATAGATGTCTGTCTGTGGGCAAAAATACACTGCAGCTGTGGCTTTCGGTAGACACAAAAACTGAGATATTTTACTCTGTATGGCCATTCGCTTAGTACATGTTCATGTGCAAGAGCCATAAGGGTCCAGGCACACTGGCTTAAAAAAACACTACTCCCAGAGGAGTTTAGCATTTTGCCTGTAGAAGCAACTAATGTTATCCTATGTGTCCATGCACATTAGGTGGTGTCGGAGGCATATTTTAAGCTCAGTGTTTAGAGGCAGAAAAAAAACCCCGTCTGTTTTACTTTTTTGAGAGCAATTCTCTGGCAGAAAAAAAATGCTAAAAGCTTCTAAACACTAGATCAAGAAGCACTCAAGATTAGCATTTTGTTCTGCTAAGAGTACTGGCAATTTTTTAAGCAAGTGTGCATGGACTGTAAATGTGTTTGGAGCGGCACATTAAATTTAATTTGTTGTGCTAGCAGTATAGTTTATATTTTTTTCTTCTAAGCTTTAAAAAAATATAAGAAAACACAATATAAATGTACTATCTGATCTACCTGATCACATTTTTCCAGTACCAGTCATGTGCTTGTTCAGTGAAGACTTTCTTCAGTAACAGTACACGAGGAGTTTCTTTCATCTCAAAGAAAGGGTTGTTGTAAGCCTCTGCAAGCACAATGTTCACACACCCCAGATCACTGCACTGAGCTGCAGTGGTCAGCTCTAAACCCCAAACTTGCAGCTAGACTTCTTGTGATCTCTATAGTCTGGCCACTGATACAAAGATGGCTGCCATTTTTTGTCACAAACAGCATTCATGAGAATACATCCTGTTTGTTCGGCTTATTGTTACTGACACAGTTGCTACATAAAGTATATCCTCAGAAATATTAGCTCAGCTGACAAAAGTGTGTGGTTCCTGGGTGTTCTTAACACATAGGCCTCTCCTGAAGAACACCTCCACTTTCCCTTACAAGTGGAGGATAGTGGTGTGTGGAGTGAGTTAAGGCTACCCATATCCATTATTTGTATTCTCTGGTTTAATTGCAATTTTTTTGCCTGTATTTTTTTTTCTCATGAATAAGTCATTCTCACTCATGTCTTAGAAACAATTGCAGGTCCTAAATGTAGGTCACTTGATAAAGATTGATAATCTGATTCACTGAAACATATTCTCCCAGCCCATGTCTGTCTAAAGCCAAAACATTTTTTTCCCCATTAAGAAAATTCAGTTCAGTATCACTGAGGCTAAAAGTGAGGAAAAAAACAAACTTTGAGTGGTCACCAGAACAGTAATAGAGGAGAAATCTTCCTTTGGGGACACATATACTGGTGACAAGAGACCATTTTCCATGCTTTGATGGTTTCCAGTCACTTCTTGTTTTGTCTACAGTACAAGTCCCGATGAGAAATCTTACTTATGAAACACGGATGGCAAAAAATGGGTTTAAACCATCTACTCACAAAGAATTCTTGGCTGTAGATATACTTTAAATATACTGAAGTCTATGTACACTTTACTGCAATGCTAGATGTTTTTCCCCTTTTTTAGATTTTAATTTTAAATAATCTTTTTAAAAGGAAAATTTAGCCTTTAGCCCTTTTGACATTTTAGGCATATTGCAATCCTATATCTTGAGTTTCTAGCATGAGTGCCTTGTTATAATCAGCAACTGCAGTATCCATAAAAGAGACTATTTTACTAACTTCCTTCTTATCAATTACACATCCGCACTGTATATAGCATTGGAATTGATGATAATGCACCCTTTGACTACAAAATGGAAATCTTTTAACTTTCGAAGACGTGCTACAGCAGCTTACACTTGATAAGTCAGTATTTGTGTGATATTGCTACAGCAAAAGTAATGAAAATATTTATGTGATTTGTTTTTATTTTATTATTTGTTTGTTGTTGCAGTTATTCATTGCTTTATCCTTGTCATTTAGGAAACCATCTAGTAAAAGTTCTCAGCCACATCACAGATCAAACAGTAAAGATGCTCAGTCTCTTTCTGTTGGAGCAAAACGAAGTGAGGAAGCTCATCCTCCAAATGAAACATTCATTAATGGAAACCACCCAGCAGGATCTCATAGCCCAACAGTCCACCCAAAAAAGAGTAACCAAAGCGGGACTGGCAACAAAGATCTATCCAACAATTTGCCACATCTCGTTAGTCCAAAGGAAGCTAAATCGAAGAATGAATTTGACTTTAACATTGATCAAAAAACAACTGATGGACCAGGAAGCAAATACATGAAATCAAGTTCCCGGTCCCAGCACAACAGGCATTCATTTATGGAGGGAAAAACTGGCAGTTTACAACCTGGCGAAAGGCATGCTCGCCATAGCTACATTGACACAATCCCACAGTCCTCAAAGAAGAGCAGTTCCTACATGAACTATTCTAAAAATCATGGTGTCCTAACAGACTCAAAATCGGTGGGAAATCTTAGTGAAACTAGAGGGCAGGCATTGGAGCCAAACAGTAGATATTTTCCATCCAGTTGCCATGACTTAAATTCTCCAACTAGCCCTGCAGGTCCTAGGCATGGTGAAAGTAGGGCCATGTTAAGTCCCTCTGGAAGGACTAATCGTAAAGAAGGGACCCTAGAGTCTCGAAGGCCTACCACTAGACATTCCAGAACCATGGAGGAGCTGAAACTTCCTGATCAGCTGGATGGTAGTCATTCCCATTCCCATTCAGCTCCACATGAGTCTTTTTCATATGGCCTAGGCTACACTAGTCCTTTCTCCTCACAACAGCGTCCTCACAGGCATTCAATGTATGTGAGTCGGGACCGTGTGCGAGTTAAAGGCAATGACCAAGGACTCAGTGTTGGGCAGGGAATGGCATCAAGGGCAAACAGTCTGCAGTTGTTATCTCCTCAGGTACAACATCGAACATTGACAAGATCTGTTGGATCCTCTCGGGAAGACTGCACAGAAGACTCTTCTAGGGTTAGTTTAATTTTTAGTTTAGTAATATATAAATTCTTGTCTTTTGGTTTATCAAGAATAAAAGTGCAAGGTGCGTATTGTTATTCAGGCTGGATATGGGCTAGTTTTCACAAAACATGCTAATATAAAACAGGCTATGTAGGAAGCTGTGGTTTTAAATTATAGCATACGCAATATCAGAGGATTGTATGGCCCCCTCCTTTTTTTCTTTAACAGAAACGCTGAGGAACTAACATTTCTAGAATGGCGTAATCAAGCTTCTTTTACTTATACAGAATGTTACTCACATATATAATATGGGAACTTATAAAGTAACCTGTTCATAAGCCTCTTCGCCTTTTTGTTTCTTACTTAGCTATTAATCTTTGGCAGTTAATTTTAACCCAGCATTTTCTAATGATTTGTCACATCTTGATTGTGTTTTAAAATGTGATGTTATTCTATCTGTTATTATGTTATTGTGACTTTGGGAAAGTTGTGAAGCTTTGTTCAAGGCCCTATTACTGATAACCTTTTGCCACTTCCAACAGTTGCCTGTTCTAATCTTTTAGAGCTTTTAGATTTGAGGGTAAATATCTTAAATGTAGAGACAATTTTTGTTTATGGTGGAAGAGGTAGTCCGTTCTTAGCATAAGGCAGTCTACCTGTGACTCCATTTTAGGTCATTTCAGTAGTTAGATATGTTGATGAGAATTTTCCCTGATTCCCACCCTACAGAACAACTGTGCTTATTGGTACATGGCCAATGCATGATAAATGTATGAATCCGCATCCAATATTACATGTTTATGTTCAAACCTTTTAGCAGTGTGTAAAAAGAGCAATACAGAATGAATACAGAATGGTGCAGGATATCCCTTATAAGTATGCTCTTAGTTTGCTTTAATTTATCAGTCATTTTGACCTTTCGCACACTTCTTCCTGGTTTGTTCAGCATGGTGACTTCTTGTTGGACATCTAAGATACCCCAGTGTTTCCCAGCCTTTCCCCCATCACAACCTTTTTTGTCACATTACCACCACCTATAACTATGCTCCTTAAAGCTGAAGTTGAGATATTTAAAAAAAAAACATTACCAAGAACAGTACTTACCATGAATGAACATTGTCCCATGTGCTGGTGTCTGCTGTGTTCAGTTGAAATTTGAAGTTCTCTTCCTCTGTGATCTTCAAATGCCAACTATGCCCGCCCTTTCTGCCCCTTGCTCTATTAAAACTTTCCATGAAAGAGTTGGACTTTTCATTCATTCACCCATTCTTCATTTGTTTTCTTTTTATTGTGGAAACCGATACCATGGGGCAGAAAAGGCAGGCATAGTCAGCACTCACAGTAACCTCCACAACAGAATACTTAGGATTTCAAGTGAACAGTGGCCACCAGCACACTGGGCACACATCATTCTTGCTAAGTACCATCTCTGATGCTGTTTTGTTTTTCTTTTTTAATTCACTAAGCAAAAGCAGGCTCAAAATTTAAAGTTCTGAGCTGCTAGCCAGGACTTCAGAGTTACTCGCCACCAGTTGCCCCACCCAACCCCTAACCTCCCCCCCAATTCCTTCCCTAAACACGCACTCATAAATTATCTCATGAAATGGCACTGTTAAATGTTTTATGTAGAGTGAAGGAAGGGAAGGAAGAAAGAAATGAAATTGAAGGGAGGGAGGGGTGGAAGAAAGGGAGAAAGGGGTGGAAGGGTGGTAGAAAAGAGGTGAAAGGGAGGGAGGGGTGGAAAGAAGGGAGGGAGGAAGGAGGGGTAGAAGGAAGGAAGGCAGAGAGGGAGGGGTGGAAGCAAGGAAGGGGTGGTAGGAAGGAAGGATGGGAGGAGTGGAAGGAAGGGAGGGAGGAAAGGGAAGGAAGGTGTGGTTGGAAGGAAGGGAAGGGTAGCTGGAAGCAAAAAAGGGAGAGGTGCAATTGAGGGGTGGAAGGAAGGAAAGGAGGGTGGGTGGAAGGAAAGAAGTGGGTGGAAGGGGAGGGGTGGAAGGAAGGATCTGAGGAAATGGAGGGTTGAGTGGAAGGGAGGGAGGAAAGGGATGGAAGGAAGGTAAGGGAGGCTGGAAGGAATTAAGGGGGGGGGTGGAAGGGAGGGTGGAAGGAAGGGGTGGGTGGAAGGAAGGATCGGAGGAAAGGGAGTGGTGAGTGGAAGGAAGAAAGGGAGGGGTGGAAGGAAAGGTGGGTGAAAAGAAAGAAGGGAGTGGTGAAAGGATGAAAGGGGTGGAAGGAAGGGAGGATGGGTGAAAGGAAGGGGGGGTGAAAGGAAGGATCAGAGGGGGGTGGGTGGAAAGAAGAAAGGAAGGGGGTGGGTGGAAGGAAGGGAAGTATGGAATGAAGGATCGAAGGGAGGGGTGGGTGGAAGGAAGGGAGGGAGGTTGGGTGGAAGGAAGGGGGGGTGGGTGTAAGGAAGGGAGGGGTTGAAGGAAGGTTGGGGTGGGTGGAAGGAAGGAAGGGAGGGGTGGGTGGAAGGTAGGTCAGTCGGACTCACATGCTCATTCAGAAGCATCAGAGGTGTCGGCTGCTCTGTGTTCTTTTTTGCGAGAGAGGAGAGTCGGCTTCCAGGTGCCTCATTGAAAGACATACAGGAGATCGCTGCTTGTCACCGCTGCACAGATCATACCTGATCATTCCATTTCTTTCCTGCCCCCACCCCCACCCCACTGTGTGATCCTCAGTGCCCAGCCCCTCCCCCTATCCACCGCACCAATAGGAGACTGGCACCGAGGAGCACACGGGGGGAGGAAAGAAATGAAACAATCAGGTATGATCTGTGCAGCGGTGACAAGCAACAATCTCCTGTATGTTTTTGAGTGAAGCAGCTGCTTTCTCCTCTCCCTCTCCCTCCCGCGGCTTTCAGCTGCTTCATTGAAACCCATACAGGAGATCTCTGCTTGTCCCCACCCCTCCCACACACCGTTTGTCTCTGCGCTGCTCATCCCCACCTTATTTCCATTCACCCAATGCGAGCGGGCGAGTGGTAATTTTGAGGGCTGCACTAAAGTACAGCTTTAACAAAACAGAGCAGGGTCTTTGTTGGCTAAAGTTTCCATCTGTCTTCCCTGTTGAAGCAATATCTGTTTATTTGTACAGCTAAACAAGTGCTGCTGCCAGACTGCTACTTGGCCTTTCATAATGCTTTTTACCTGTTCTAAGTGAACATTTATTTCCTCCATGTATTATCAGTAAGATCTGTTTGACCTTTGTGGAAACATTTTATTGAATCATTCAGATTAGAGCTTTCCTTTACCAGAAGAACCCTGATGAGTGTTCCCTTTTGTAAACATTTTTAGCATTTTTGTCCGTCTTATTTTTAGGACATTTTTCCATTTTTAAGTTTTGAAAACAATCCTGGGGTTTTGATTTACATAGAAATAATAAAGCGATTTCAGGATAAACTGAAAGAAAAAACACCACCTGTTATCTCGCATCACTGAATATAATTTTAGTTCCTGTGGAATTAGGCTATAATGGAGCCTTAGCCTAGTTTTCTCTTATCACGTTTTGTGTGCTCTGCTTCTCTCTGTGCTACACTTTGCCCTTCTATATTCATCCTTGCTGCAGTTTCTTAAAACAGAAACAAATGTATTATGGTAATGCGCAGCACTGTCAGTGTTCAGTGTGAGGAAGTGGGTGTTTTTTGTGTGGGTTGTGCAAATATTTTCAAACTGCTTTTAAATCTTCTAAGTAGGCTCTCCCTGTATAATGGAATAATTGGGAATTGTGCTGAATTAATATATTCTGTTTAAAAGTATAGCATTGTTACTTGCCTTGTTATGTTTTATGTGCTCTTTTTTACATTGTTCTCTAGATTTGATATGTTCAGATTCTGTTGCTTTTTGGAAACAGTAGACTGAATGAAAAGTTGTGTCTACATTCTGCTGTTAGTTATAGATAACTGTAGACATTCCTCAGTACAAAAGTGCAAAATGAACTTGTTAACTATTATGATTATTGAACTACCTGCTTAGCCATATCTAAGCCCCCCACCACATTAACACTCCCTGTACCTGGGCCTATTGAGATATTTGCTGGCTCATACATGACTGTTATGTCATTCATTAGCAAACAGTTCTTTAATGCAGCCCTCCTTGTACCCTAACATTCACAGGTCATTATATAATAAACCTCAGAGCCATGATGAAAAGATTTCCACACCAGTTTGTGGATGTTACATCATCTTGGCCTGGCCAGTCAAGATGACCAAAGAATCCGAAGTATTGACACCAACAAGGGACTGACGGAAGGTGAGTATAGTTCCACTAAAATCAACCAAAATGCTGGTCGCTCACTAACTGACCATCACCTGTGGAGGAATGAGAACACAGGAAGTTGTGTGCTCTAAAAGCCCCAGCATTTTAGGAAAAGATTGGCAGACCATAGCAAAATCTTAGTGTGAAAAAAATATACAGTGCCTTGCAAAAGTATTCATTCCCCATTGAACTTTTCCATATTGTGTCATGTTACAACCAAAAACGTAAATGTATTTTATTGGGATTTTATGTGATTGAGCAACACAAAGTGACACATAATTGTGTAGTGGAAAGAAAATGATAAATGGTTTTTTAAATGTTTTATAAATAAATATTTTAAAAGTGTGGCGTGCATTTGCAATTAGCCCCCCTGAGTCAATACTTTTGTAGAACCACCTTTCCCTGCAATTACAGCTGCAAGTCTTTTTGGGTATGTCTCTACCAGCTTTGCACATCTAAAGAGTGACATTTTTGCCCATTCTTCTTTGCAAAATAGCTCAAGCTCTGTCAGATTGGATGGGGAGCGTCTGTGAACCGCAATTTTCAAGTCTTGCCACAGATTCTCAGTTGGATTTAGGTCTGGACTTTGACTGGGCTATTCTAACACATGACTATGCTTTGATCTAAACCATTCCAGTGTAGCACTGGCTGTATGTTTAGGGTCGTTGTCCTGCTGGAAGATGAACCCCC